GACCTTTTAAGCCAATTTCTGATATCCATTTTGTAATTCAAACAGAAATGTCTACAGAATGCACAATAAACAAATCCAGAATAGGCGGCAGAGTGTGACGCTGTGATTGGTCTAAATGTGGACGAATCACAAATCACAACAGACACATGCATTTATTTGTTTTAAGTTACTATCTGACATCACATACATCGTAGCATAAAAGTTCACCGTTTATTTATAATTAAAAAAATATATATATATATATTTTTATAAATAATAAAAAACGTGTTTATTAGGGGAGGGCAGGAATGTCAAATGGGAGGGCCTGGCCGTTTTATTAAGTTAAAATACTATAATATAATGAGATGAGACATGAGACATGCAGACACATTCAGATTTGGAAATATGGCTTTACAAGCCATCACACTCAAACTCTGGCAATTTTCCTTACTCTTAACCGATAATTTCCTTAATTATGTTAGTAATAGTTTATGCCTTACACATTCTATAACTAGACGTTTTGACTCAGTCAGGTTAAGCATAGGATAAAAGATCCATGTCTGTCCAGCCTACCTCTGATGTAGGAGAGGCGAAACCCCTGGGACTGCCCTGAGCTGTTGGCATGAGAGTGGAAATAGAGCCAGACGCGCCCCCTGGTGGAGATGAAGGGTGGAGGCAGCATAGAGCCACACAGCCTGGAGTCCCCGGTCTTTGTAGGAGTCAGCAGGAGCCAGTCTCCGAAACATCTTCCCGCCTCGGCCACGTCAAAGTTCCGGAAACTTGAGCAGAAGATGGATGATTTTAGTGGGGTACTCTATGACGGATGTCATGTGTACACTGTTTGAGTGAGGGATTGTACCTGATGGTGATGACCTCGCCCTGACCTCCCTGGATATGCCAGCTGCAGTTAACTCCAGCAGGGTAGTTTAAAGGCCAGGACGGGCTGTAGATCACACCCCTCCGCTCTGAGTGGACCTCCACTCGCTCACTGCAGCCTGCTGGGTGAAACACACACACATTAGGGAGGTTGGTCTCTGCAGTGATTTGTGTTAACCCATTTTCTTTATTTTTCCTTACAGTCATTATGCTGAAATTCTCAGGGGTGGTTTGACAATGGGCCCCTGTGCACAGTTTTACAAAAGACCCCACCCCCTCTCCTACTGTAGGAAAACAGATATTAATGTTATTTAGACCCTTGTTGTCTTTTTGTTTCTTTTTTTGTCGTTTCACATCTTTCTATCATTTTGGTCTGTGTTTTTTTATTGCCAATTTATAGTCATTTTGCATATAACTGGTTGCTTCATGTCACTTTGTAGCTGTTTTGTGTCACTTTATAGTTGTTTGGGTCTTTGGTCTTTGTAGTTATTTTGTGTGACTTCCTGTTTGGACCATGACCCAGACTTTGGGCCCCTGTGCATGGTAGGCGAGTTCAGAAATCCATATATTAAGTAGATGCATAAATGTTTATTTTAACAACAGTAGATGTCGTGTTCATTGGGGACTGTTATCAGATGCATACTAATACACATTTAGCTGTTACAGTAGTAATTATTTCTGGCAGCACAATGGTGTATGCGGAAATCCATTGTTGTCTAAAATAGCTTTTGGACAACAATAGAGCTCTATGGCATAGAAAAAGACAAGTAGGCTATAACAGGGCTTTAGCATAGCTACATGTATATTTCTTTTTACTAGGATCAATTATTTGTTTACTTTAAATGGATTTGTTAATAATATAAAAACTATCACCAGACTGTTCTGTAATTCCAATGACCTTTCTCTTTTTCACGTATAGTACATATGTAACCATGAGGCATCCTAATCATCTCAAATTCTTAAGAGGGAAACTACTTTCAGGAGAGAGAAATATGGTCTGTTCCTTTATTCATGATGAACTGAGAATTATGCATGCTCAGCAGGATCCATACTGCTACTGCTAGAATACTCTCACACACTCACGTTCCTTCATTCAAATTCCTTAAAATTCGTCATGAACTTAGCATACTAGTACCAGAAACGTCAACGCTTAAAAGGACAATACAAAATCGCTGCTGCATTATTAAAAGTGCATTATGTTTTAACAACCTTAAATCAATGCCTTGACAAGACAAACGACCCTAGTGCCTTTCAGGGGAGCTCTGTGCTGATCACATGGGGGCGAACACCACGGCAACAGCATCGCCTGCTGCCATCGCACCATTTCTTCAGGGAACAGAGAGCGGTGGCCAAGAGGGGCACCAGGAATAATACACAGACCTGTTTGAAGTGCAAGCCATGGCTCCTGTTGTTTGGTAATAATTAAAAGGCATCAGGTGTGTATGGAAGTCCTGTGTTTAACACTTAAAAACAGGCAAAAGGGTTCTCCAGGATAATCTGTCATTATTTATTCCTCATTTGTTTATTTTCTCGTCTATGACAAGGTATAGGGGGAGTTTTACAAGGTTTGAACGGTTGTTGTTGTTGTTGTTGCATACTTATTCTGGCCATAAAAAGCTGAATTAAAATATTACCACATGTTGCTGATACGACTAAAAGAACCTGGCAAATAGCTAGTAAATGTTCAAATTTTACCAACCACTCAATAGACTTTTGTTATTATTTGGTTGGCGAGTCAAGCACTAGCCTTATATTATCACAATTTGGTTGGTAAATAGTAGTCATTTTGTGAATTCAAATTTCCACCTTTACTCTAAACACAAAGTACAGATATTCTGTTTAAGCAAGTCATGTCATATTACTGTCTGTATAAACAATTTTTTAGCCAAACGAAAGACATAAATAAATTGTAGAATAGAAGAGAAACCCACTGAGATTAGACTTATAAAATGGATCACTATACGTTTCTTTTTTTGTAAGGCCTCTAAGGGCTTCCCTGCATTGTCTACAAGCAGTTATAACACAGGAAGGCTAGATACCAGATGTAACAATAATTTAAATTGCGATGTTAGTGCAACATCAGTGGGAAGGATTTCATTCTCTTTCTTACGCTGAGAACAAGAATTGAAACATCACCTCGTTACTTATCATTTGTAACATAGCAGGTCCGACGAGCGTCTTAATTACCCAGAACCACAGAGACAGAAAATCAGCTGAACTGCTAAACAATGGATATCCAACATCGCCACACAGCAGCCAGTTCTGCTGAGCGTGAGAGTGGTTGTTTCAGGCTTTCTTGAAGAATCAGTGAAGTCAGCAGAGTGTAACATTGGCAGGGGGGGGGGGCATCCTTTAGAGCTCAGTGATGGATATCGACTACTGCATGGATACCTCAGCACACACACAAATACACACACATGAAACTGGACTAGCCCTGGGAGTGTGTGGAGTAGAGCTGTTGTTGTATAGTGTGACAGGTTTTTTATATGAGATTTTACTTTTTTCTATTATTTTCAACAAATGTATTGACTTTACTTTGTGAGGACTAATGCAGCCTAGGGGTTTCACCAACTAATCGACTAGTCGACTACCTTTACCACTAGTCGGCGCTGTAGGCCCTAGTCGACTAGTCGTGAAAAAAATTGAGGTAAACGAGGTGCTGCAAAATGCTCCAAAACACGTCCGACATTCTTATGTATGGCAGTACTTCAACGAATATGTAACCAACTCCACAGTGAAGTGTCAGTTGTGTACAGCTGTACTGAAGTACAATACAAATGCATCTGCTATGCGCAACCATCTGAAGATGAGACACCCGCTGCCGACAGCTAGCACTAGCAGTAATGCTAACACCAGTGAGCAACGGACCGGCGTCAGCACTGAACAGAGGCAAACGAACAGCAAGAAAACACGGGTCAACAGTGGTGCGGATGATGAGCTACGGGATTACTGCCAGCGGACACCGCATATCCCCACAATGGATAATCCACTGGAGTGGTGGGCAGAAAACGTGCACCGCTTCCCCCGCTTTCGAGGAGCTACCTGGCTATTCCAGCCACAAGCACCCCGAGTGAGAGGGTT